GATTATATGACATGAACACTGCAATGGGATTTTAAATGGATTATATGACATGAACACTGCAATGGGATTTTAATCAACTTAATGAAGCTAAATTTCTAGAGCCTACCCTTTCATGGTTGCATTAGAATTAAAATCAACCCCAGTCAAACCACTTGCTTTAGAATCACCAGCAGTCAAAGTCAAACCGTTTGCTCCTCCATTCATGTCCACTGTCTGGTATCCATACCAAGACGCACACAGCAAAAAGAACCCAAAATTCACGACGCTTAGTCCTGCCAATAACCAGTAGAAGTAATTCATGAGGGTGAAATTTAAATTTATGTCTTTTTTTTGGTTTTTGTAGAATATTTTTATAAATAATAATAGAAGCTCAATTAGACTCAATATGGCTCCCTAGCTTGTCGAGTGGAGTATTGGTGAGCTCGAACTCAACTAGACTCGAAATTAGGCAAGTTGATTTCGAGTAATAATTGAGCCGAGCCCGAGGTACTCACGAGCTGCTTGACTCACATTTCACCTTATCCTTGGCTTTTCCTATTATTATTATTATTATTTTTTTGTCAGACCTTGCTTTTGGCTTTTCTTATTGAGCAGGCGGAGAAAGGGTGCTTTTATGGGAAGGGGGGGAGGTTTCTTTTTGGAGGAAGAAAGCCTGAATCCTCAAAGATGTATTACTTGTTTTGTAATAGCAGTATTTCAGTCATTATCTGTTTTGGTGCTGCCCTTGTGCTCGCACTTGACATCCTGCTCTCCCGTGGCACTTATATAACCTCAATTGTGATGTAAATCTATTTGGTTCAAATTGCTCTCCCTCTTCACCTGCAGGGAAATTTGACGCTATCAGATAGTGGATTGGCTGAGAAGCAAATATACCACGCTGCACTTGATGGTAACTGCATGCAGAAAGGCGATTAAGTTACGCCATTGTCAATTAGGTTATTCTATGGACACGGTAGATATTAAAGTTCATTGGTCAGATACCTCATGCTGCTTGACGCAATCCCTTCTCTGAGCTAATGATTTGCATAGTTACACAACTACACATAGACAAGGTTGAAGCTCTCTTGTGCCGTTGCAAGTCTGATTAGTCGAGGCTGATCAATATGCACAGCAATGTACATTCGTTCTCTTTTAATTTTGACATTGAAAATCTATATGCAGTGTGTCATCCTCAAATTTCGACCCTATTCGGGATGTAATGAAATGATGATTTTAATCAATGCACTATTAGTAATTCTCGTTCTGAATTGATCACTCATGAGAGACTAACCGATAGGGAAAGACTGTTAAGGAATTAAGTACGCACGACCTGAGAACTCGACCATGGATTGACAATTCGACCATAATGATTGACGAGGGACAATTTTGAGCCATTATAGACCGATCAAGGGATGGTTATAGAACGATTCGCCAATAGCATACAATCGGATCGCGGGTGATTCTGCTTGACCGTTGTATGTATTGCGAACGATCCTAAACCCATTGACTGATGATCGCGTATTTCGGAACTAGTGATTGATCCCTCGCAATTACATGACAATCGAGATCATCCATGGTTCGAGAAAACTTAAACGTGGTTTGATAACGAATCAACCATGGGTCGAATTCGCGTAACTCCTAAAAGGCACCCGTTAGTTTGAGATATACGAAAGTCGCAATTGATTAATTTTTATCACGAATTAGACTCCGAATTTGGATGTCGAATCTCCGAGGATTTCAAAACTAAATTATCGGACACCGCCTCATTGATTTGCTCGTTTATCGGTTTACTCGAAATTCTCGGAAAAGGATTTAACGGGCCGAGAATTTGAGCCCAAGAGGAAGTGGGCCGGATGAAGGCACATTGGGCCTCAAGCCCAATGTGATTCGGCCACATGGGCCCAAGCCAAACCCAAGTGGCTCAATTTAGCCCATCGAACCCAATTTCAAGCCCAATTGCAATTCAAGCCCAAGTTTGAGCCCATTAGCATTTTCAAGCCCATTCATAATCCGTTTGAGCCCAAATTTGATTATACAAGCCCGTACGAAATTCTAGCTCGTATACGCGTATAAGTATTTTTATACCTTGTGAAATTACCAAAATGCCCTTCTTGCATTTATGACCAAGAAACCAAAGAAAATGATGAAGAAGACTTTGGGGGTTTGGCATTTATGTTGGGGAAATGATGATGAAGACTTTGGGAGTGGATAAAATCTTCCAATAACTCTCATTCTCTCTCTGTTCTCACGTTGGACCCCTCTCTCTCTCTCCTTTTTCCTCTTCCACGGCAACTTCCCCTTTTCTCTTTTTTTTGTTGTTCCTTCGGCTGAGCAAACAGAACAGCCCCCTTGCTGTTGTGTTGCTGCTGTGTTGCTGCTGTGGAGCAACCAACAGCCACGCCGTGACTCCCCGCCGCCGTGCGCAACCCATCCGTGCCGTTTTCCGTCGCCAAATCGCCTCACCGAAGCCAAACCGGTTCTGTGGCTGCTGTTCAGCCCTATTCCGGCCGCGTGTCATCATTCCGTGTCGATTCCGGACCGTGCAAAGCGTAGCCCTCGCCGCCGCCGACGCACCGGTGTCTCCGGAATTTTAATCGGGTGAGTTATCGCCCTAATCCCTTGCTTAGTAGGTTAAACTTGATTAGAGCGGATTAGTTTAAGTTAATTGTGCTTAGTACTAATTGATTAGGGATTAGTGATAATCTATTGGATTAATTATATTATTATTTTATTAATTTTCGGTAATTAAATAATAATATTTTATTAATTTTCGGAATTAAAAATATTATTATTTTATTAATATTTTTGTGGAAATTCCGAAATTAAATTGTGTTTATTTTAGGCTTAAATTGTGATGCCTAAGCTAGAATTTGCCTTATATATTGGTTTGCATGCCAAATTGAATTGTTTGGTTACGGTGAAATATAGAATTACGGGTATTTAATTAATAAACCCTAAGGTGTCGGGTTTATTTGTTAAGTTTTATGTGAGGAATATGTTGTGGATACTTGAATATAGAAGCATGCCAAGTTTGGGAATTTATTGATATGTGCATAATCACGTGTGAATATTTTGGTACATTTTTACGCGTGGAAGTTGCGATATTTCAACGTATTAGCACGAATTATGTTTGCATCGGCTATTGAAAATTATAATGATGGAACCTGAGTGTTGTTATGTGTGTATGATCACCTAAAGGTTCTTTTCGTGCCTGGTTATATCGGAAAACCGCATATCGGATGACCGCCAACCTAGGGTTTGGCTGTGGCCCTAACGGGTGTCCCCAATTTGGTAATTGGAAGCCGTCGCTGGTAGTAGGGGAGACGTAGTCATTCGCGAATCGGATTCGGAATGAACCCATTTATGGGATATGCCGTTATTGTGGTCGGGTGAGACGATGCCATGCCCGACGGGGCGGGATGATGCCCGGTTATGCCGGAAGACCGCCAACTTGATGCGACTAACGCGGGTTGTGCCGTAGCCCCTGGTGTGGTTGTAGTAATTGGAATACGCGTGAAAAATTGTGGTAGCATTGCGCTTGATTATAGAATGAAATTGTTAGGCACGTTATGGGACGGGCCGAAACGGTTTCACTTTATAATCAGGACACGTGTGAATGCATTGTGCTTGAGAAAATTGATGCGTATTCTGATTGTATTATATGCTTATTGCATTATTATGGCATACGGTGAATCATAACGTACAGGGCGTGTGCATGTGCCCGGGGCAAGGTAAGGTTGCCTGTGATTGTGTTGTGAAGTACCTGTATGTTCTATATTGAGTTGTCTGCCATCAATGTATCGTTGCATGGGTTAGGTACATCCGAGATGAGTTGACCTCCTAGTCGAGGCTTAGGTCGTGAACTCGCAGAGATTTATCTCATCCGTTGTTGTTAACCACTTTTCAGGTCATCCGATATGAGTACACGTACCGTTCCTTGGGAACCGGCTTTTTGAGGGAGAACACTTTTTGAGGTTATCCTCGTAGATAGAGGAGCTAGGTTAACCCGTACCTGTTCTGGTTGTAATCGGGAAGGTCCGCGTAGCGGATTTGTAATATATTAACCCGATGTATTGCTGATGATGTTGTTTAAATTGAGGTGTGTTTTCCTGACTATCCCTGTTATTGTGATTGGGAGTTTTTAATTCGCTTCCGCATGCGTTTAATCGTTAGTAATTCGATTGGTCGGCGATGCATCCTGGGACGTCGCATTTATAACGACCTTGGTGGGATGTTAACACGTCGGGGCGTGACATGCAGTCCTTTGCAAAGCTACGGTTATGAAGCTCTTCTACTGTTCTTAAGCTCTTATCTGTTTTTGGTGTTCTAGCCAGTGCGGAGTTGAATTTGCCCTCACTTCTTTGTCTAGGCGAACATGGGTTTGGTCTGCTTTTTCTTCTCTGTGCCCGTGTCTCAACATCTCTAATCCACACAAAACATATAACAGCAGGGAAATTTGAGTGATCCCTTAGGTGGCGAGTTCAGAACACTAGATCTTACAAGGCTTCTTACGTTGATGCAATGTTGATTTTTCCTCTGGAAGTACTATTCTGCGAATCTAGGGTAATGGGGTGTGCCGACAAATACGTGATCTCTGGATTTTTTTACTTTGGTCCTGTTCCATCTATGTATGAAACTCGTAATGATTATGATCTGAAGATGGGTTCTGTCCGCGATGATTCTTCTGATGCACAATTGAAGGACAAGTGGGCAAAACATGGTCAAGAGAGAGGGGTGGCTTCAGATTCCAGGTTCCATTAGACAGTAAAAATACTCTCCTCGGTGCTCTATACGAAGCAGTATGAGAGGTAAGACAGAAATGGAGTGTGTTATTGACCGACACCGCTTTGAAAATCACTCCACCTTACCTTGCAAATTGGTCTAATTGTGTGCTCCTCAACTGGTGTGCTATGTACTGTGGAAAGCAATTCCATATCCCGTGCAAGCAATTGCTGGGAAAGAAGAAAAGCAAAATTTGATGGCTCATATAGATCCAATCCATGTCCTTTGCAATCAATTGCTGAGTATGAAGTAAGCAAGTTTTGATGGCTCATATAGATCCAAGTGAATAGAAGTGAGTCCATGCTTCCTGCAACACGACAGTACACCTCTCGTGTTATTCCAGTTCATCCTCGTTGAAAGTCGACAAGAGTTTGCAAACTTGTGATGGACATGGATTTACGAACTATAGCCAAACAAGTTTTCATGAGGCAATGAACCTAGAACCGAAACAGCACCAACATGAAAGCTGGACGAAGACAAACAGCAGCAACAACACGAAAGCTCCCACCTTGAGGTCAGACGTCAACTTTAGGTTTCAAAGCAGCTTCCTGATTGAAGATATTCATGAACTCTTTGACCTTTCCTTTCGCGCTGCTTCTACCAATGCCATCTCGTTGACCCGTTGGCAATCCCTGCGATGCAACTTTTGTTACTCCTTTGCTGTTCGAACCGCGCCGACCATCTTGTTTCTTTACTCCTTTATCAGCATCATTCTGCCCAAGAGACTGTTCAGTACTCATCAGGAGACTGTTCAGTACTCCTTCTTCCCGTCTGCCATGACCTCATTACTCTCTGCAACTGGAAAAAAGAGATGCTGAATTCGAGATTTCATGGAAAGATATAAAAGCTACAACTCTGAACGTAGACTACCGTGTTCATCTTTATCACTTAGCAAAGAACGAAGAGGTTTTAATTTGGGCTTGGATAGTTCTTCCTCTTTCTCCCTATTCTGACGCAAACCTGTCTGGGGGAGAGCGTGGGATTTTGTTTCTCCTCTTATTGCATGGCATGGCATCACTATGACCATCTGATACTGTTCCTTAAGCTGCTCAAAGTTTTTGGTCTGCTAATATTGATGCCTGCTTCTTCAGCAGCGTGGCGTGTTTCCGCTTGGACTTGTAAGCTTGATTGCTCCATTGTCACGGGAGGCTGGAAGATGATGAGGTCAATAGAAGTTAAAACAAAGGCATTAATTGGAAATGTTTTACCTAACATCCTAAAGCGATTTCTATAGAGTATCCTTTTGCAGCCAAAAAGATGACGCGGAAAACATTTATTCAATATGATCGAAATTTGCCAAAACAAGTTTTCTTCTACTGTAAATGGAAAGCAAATTGAGACACGATAGCACCACCCTAGAATCACTTTTTTCTCCCGACCTAGCGGTCTCACAACCGAGCTCTCGAACGCGTTTCTTCTCACGTTCACACCCAGCTGCCAGAAAATGGACCTGAGAGAATCCATCGCCAACCAGACCGACGCCGCCCTCGCCCTCTCCAAGCAGCTCCTCTTGACCGGGGCCAAGGACTCCAACCTCGTCTTCTCTCCCCTCTCCATCCACATGGTGCTCGGCCCGATCGCCGCCGGCTCAGCGGCCCACCCAGACCAGCTCCTCTCTTTCCTCAAGGCCAAATCCACCGACCATCTCCACTCCTTAGCTTCTCAGCTCCTCCTCGTAGTGCTCGCCGACGACAGCGCCGCCGGCGGGCCCAAGCTGTCCTTCGCGAACGGCATTTGGATCGATAAGTCGTTGCCTCTCAGGCCTTCTTTCCAACAGGTGGTGGACGCGTCTTATAAGGCGGCCACTAATTTCGCTGATTTCAAAACCAAGGTTAGTTCTTTCTCTTTCTTCTGTTTATTGGGTCGAATACATGCGCGGCTTTCTTGGTTTCTTTGGTCGGATGGTTCTGGGAGGCTGAAGTGACTGTGCTTAGATATTTTAACTAGTTGTTCTACCCATTTGCTGTTTCGTGGGTGGAACGCTCTTTTGTGGATTGAAACGTAAGAATATGTTTTATTCGTGAAAACAGTTTTGAAAATCATTTCCTCTTCTAATTTTTCTTCGGTTTGGGATTTGAAATACTGCTCGTAATTGGTTTACTTGTTTAACAGAAACCTCCCGGAATGTTAAGGCAATAGCTCTTTCTTAATGAAGTATAATCCAAACATGCACAAACAACATGTAAATCCGCTAAAGTGAGCTCATAGTAACCTTGTGTTAGAGGCCTACATGATGAACATAAAAGAATGGTCACAAACTCTGGTAAGCTTCAAATGAAAAAAGTTCAAACCAGATGCGTTGGTCAACAATCATACAAAGTTTACTTAATCAGGGCTTTAGATGATGTTGTTTGAAGCTATCAAGTTGGAAGGGACCACGATCGTGCCCTGTAGGTGCATTTACAAGGATTTCCTATTTTCTGTCATATTCTAAGCATGTTAAAGACGTAAACTTTATGCTCCCAGATTGCAACTCGCTAGTGCAACAAGTTTTACCCTCCTAACCTTCCCATTCATCATCAATGTACTGATTTTCCACAGATTTACTACATGGGAATTTGTAGCAGGGGCAAATGTTGATATTGCATCTGGCTCTTGTGTAGTTCTCACCGTAGCCATAGATCATGTAAATACAGAGAAATCGAAATGACCATATTAGGAAAAGAAATTTAGCATAGTTATTACATAATACATTGCCCTCTCGCTGTGCGAACCCCAATCACAGGTTACGCTATCATTTCTAATTGGATATTTGCATACTTGTCATGATCAAGCAATTTCAGTATGGCTGTAGACCGGAGTGAGATGTGTCATTGTAGATGTTTCTGGAAAATATAATTGGAAATTAGTTCTACAGCTTCTGCTACTGGTTTCCACACGGTGCTTAACTTAAGGATCGTGGAGAACTGACTTAACATGCAATCACCATGTTGAAGAACATCTTTTGTAGTCAAATACTTCAAGTAGTGCAATATCGACTAGTCATACTCTCGCATATGTGCCATGAGTACTAGTGTGTTGCCTTTGGTAGGACTTTCAGCAGTCCACTATTTGAATTTGAGACTTTCACTTTGTTGGTGCATGGGGTTATAGAAACATAGGGTGACCCTTTTTCGTGGGGATTTCTTTGCTGATGGGCTTACCCTTTTTTTTGTGCCAATTATTTTCTTGGTTCTCTAATGTTCCTTTTGTTGCCTAATTTTCTATATCAATGGTTCCTCTATACTATTTTGAATTGTGAAACTGAAACTTTTGTTCTTTCTTCAGTCATGGTTGAGAATGTGGTTCCGTGCTAATTAACTTTAGTATTGACCCGTAATTTTCATCCTTCCATAAATGGCTCGGATTTGAGTTGAATTGCAGTCTTTTCTAAGTTCTTACATGAATGTCCTTTCTATTCGTTAAACAATGGCATTAGCTGCTTGCTTTTTGTATTGCCTGGTATTCTATGGACTGATTAGAAGAACCCCATTAGGCTATTGAGGTGACTAGCGAGGTTAATACGTGGGCTGAGAAGGAGACCAGTGGCCTCATAAAGGAGGTTCTCCCGGCTGGCTCAGTTGACAGTTCAACTCAACTCATTTTTGTGAATGCCCTTTACTTCAAAGCTGCTTGGAATGACAAGTTCGACTCTTCAAAGACAAAGGATAGTGACTTTTTCCTTCTCAATGGGAATTCTGTTCAAGTTCCTTTCATGACTAGTGAGAACAAGCAGATCCTCGCAGCTCACGACGGTTTTAAAGTCTTGGGACTTCCTTATAAGCAAGGGGAGGACAAGCGTCAGTTTTCGATTTACTTATTTCTTCCGGATGCGAGAGATGGACTCCCGGCTCTCGTGGAGAAAGTCTGTTCTGAATCTGGCTTTCTGGATCGCCATCTTCCCTACAAGGAATTGGAAGTGCGGGAATTCCGAATCCCGAGATTCAAGATATCATTTGGATTTGAAGCTTCAGAAGATCTGAAGAAGTTGGGATTGGTATTGCCATTTTCGGGTGGAGGATTGACGCAGATGGTGGACTCTGTCAATCTCTATGTCGCACGCATATTTCACAAATCCTTCATTGAAGTTAATGAAGAAGGAACAGAAGCGGCCGCCGCTTCTGCTGTTCTTATGTGTGGGAGTGTGCCTTTTCCGAAGAAGATGGACTTTGTCGCCGATCACCCGTTCCTATTCTTGGTGAGAGAGGATATGACTGGCACGGTGTTGTTTGTGGGTCAGGTGCTCAATCCGCTAGCCAGCTGATCATAAGTCGAACAAGAGCATTAGTATTCCTAACTCTATTGGCACTAAAACGAGAGGTTGTTTGGTTTATTGCATATGTTTTGATGTATTAATCGGTCAATGCACAATTAGGGAGGATGCAATATCTTTTCGTATTGTATCAATTATCATGACATGTTCGTGGACACCTATGTCTTCCAATGTCTTTGCCCCTTCTATTTATTTTTTCTGAGTAAAAGTATCGGGAATATTGCATCTAGTTCATTGATAATTCAAGTTTTTTTTTCTTTTTCTGTAAGCATCTGTGCCTATGAACACATTTGAGATTTGCGTGTTCAAAATCGAGTACGTCCCAAATCAGCTTGAGTACAAGTACTTCCGCATCTTGGATTCTCCCTTCGCCTTTCGCATCTGCATGAATAAGAGAGCTTATATGTCCGTATGCTTTGTTTGTGTGACTTGACTTAGTGGATGTCTCTATCAAAAAAAGGGAACACCACACTCATTGAATTCATTTTCACGGAGGGTGAGTCTGGACACAAATGCTCTTTCCATTATTCTTCATTCAACAATATTTTCCATGGCCTCCGAGAATCCACCTGCAACCAGGGCGAAGTCGCTCCGACACTCGGGAAGCACCTGTTCCCAACTAAGATTGAGGACTGGAACGTCATCTTCTCTCCCCCATTCGATCCTCGCCGTTTTGAGCCTGCTCCCCATCGGACGAACTCAAGCCCAGCTCGTCTTTGTCGTCAAGGCGAAGTCCATCGACCACCTCAACACCTTTTAGCTAACGGAAGGGGCACAGAGGGGCCGAAATTGTCGATCCGGAATGGCGTTTAGGTTGCCGGTTACTTGCCTCTCCGGAATTGTTTCGAACGGGCGGTGGGCATGTCACGCCCCGAATCCTATCGAGCTCGCGACACACTTCTCTGGTCAATTAATGCGACATCCCAGGGTATCGCCGACCTCACTTATAATTATTAGAGATTTGAAGCGATAAGCGGAAACCATAAATACCCGGACAATTAAAACTGGGGAGAATAGGGAGAATGCACATATTCGTTTCTCATTCAAACTCACATAATATTCACAATTTACAAACCACCAATATACATATGCACACCGTACTACAACCACTGATATCAAAAGGATCGATGACCTGGATATTCTATCATAAAAAAATGGTATGCTCCAAAAAGTCTAAACCCAACCCCTGCTCTAGCCTCTACGCCCTCTACTTGGCGCCCACTCTGAGTCAGACTCCTCGTCCTCTGAACCTGAATTCCCCTGGACAGTCTGTTCCTCCGAAGACTCCGGCTCAGTTTCAATCTCAATCGGGTGATTTATGTCACCCGACTCCGCTGGGGCCTCGTCTCGCTCCTCCGAATCGGACTCCTCATCAGACCCGTACTCTGGTACCAACTCAGGGTCAATCCACTGCTCATACGGGGGTATATACTCCGGTTCTCCTTCAGGCTCGGCGGGTTCGTTCTCAGATTCGGCCTCGGGCTCTTCCTCTTCCGGTTCTTCCTCTGGAATCGCCTCAAGATCCACGTCCATCGGATCGTACCCCACCTGCGACTCTTCAGGCTCTGGGTCATGCTCGGCCCCCGCAGGCTCAGGTGCTACAGGCGCTGGCTGCAGTCCTGACTGTGCCAGACTAGTTTCCAAACTAGTCATCTCACCGTCGAGAGGGGGTATAGCAGACGGGTCCAAGTCCCCGACTCCATCAAAGGGGACGTCAAATCCTCAGACGGGACCAAACTCGTCTATCCCGTCTCGGAAGAATTACGCGGTGTATGTATGGGCCTCCCATAGGGGTAATCCCACATCTACAAAGACTACGGTGGTATGCTTAATCCAGGTCATATGGTCATCTATAGGAAACTCCACACTATCGTGTTCGGTGTG